TAATAAATATAATAAATATAATAAATATAATAAATATAATAAATATAATAAATATAATAAATATAATAAATATAATAAATATAATAAATATAATAGCTAAAGTAATTTATTTAATTAATATTTTTAAAAATATATATTATTAAGTATATTTAATAAAAGAGTTTAATAAGAATTTAATATTTAGCTTATATTAATATTTTTTTATAATATTATTAGTTTTTTATAATTATTTTTTTATTATTATAATATTTATTATTTTAATTTATTATTTATATTTATATTTTTATATTTATAATTAGATTTTATAAAGATTTTATTATAATATTATTATTTATAATTTATATTTTTACTTTTATTTTATATTATTATTTAAGTTTATAATTTATATTTTTACTTTTATTTTATATTTTTATTAAAGTTTATATTTTAAATTTTACTTTTAACTTTATTTTTTTTATTATAATACTATTTTAATATAAAGCTATTATTTATAATTTTATATAAACTAATTATTTATAAAATTAAACTTTTCTAATTATTAATTATTTTCTTAAATTATCTTTTTATTTAATTATATAAAATTTATACTTTTTATAATATTTATATATAATAATATATTTAATTTTATATATTTCTTTAAGTATAAAAAGGGAATTTATAAGTTTAATAAGATATTTATTTTTATTATAATATTATTTAAAGTTTATAATATTAAAAATATTATAAATTTATATTAAAAATAAAAGATATAATTTATATATTAAGCTATTATCTTATTATTTCTTTAATTTAATATAAGCTAGTATATTTTTATATAAGTTTATATATTAATTTTAATAAATTAAAGTATTTTATAAAAATAAAAACTTAATTTTTTATTTAATATTATATTATTTATTATAAGCTTTAATACTTTCTTAAAGTATATAATATATAGGTTTTTATATATTTTATATTTATTATATATATTTTATATTTATTATATTTATTTTATACTTATTATATATATTTTATATTTATTATATATATTT